ATTCCAACATTTTGGTTCTCATTTCATTCAGCAGCAAAAACATTTACTGGGCACCGGTTTGGGGCCGGAGGTGCCCATGACACAATTCCTACCTTCACAGGCCAGCAAGGCAAGCCTGGAAACAAGCAACAGGTGTTCACAATACAATGTGAAAATGAATGTCTGAACTAAACAGCTATGGTGGCTCAAAGGAGGGAGCGGCTAACTCGATCTGCAGGGTAACCCACACTCCCAGTTTGCTTGGCTTCACTACTAAAGCCTGGAACAGTCCCCAGAAAACCAAGGTGTTGGTCACCCTCTGTGTCTGGGAGAGATGGAGAAGCCTTTAAAGCGGAAATGCCATGTGAACTAGAGCTTAAAGGGCAAAGAGAAGTTCACCAGGCATTTCAGGGAAATGGGGCCAGCGTGGTAGGCAGATTTAATAGGAGAGTGAAATTGGCTGTGGTATGTGAGCTTTGGCCAATGTATGTCCCTAGGTGGGGGCAGGGGAAGAAGGGCACACACCGAGGACGACAGAGGTGGCCAGGGGCCCAATCATGGAGGACCATGCATGCCACGCCCGGGGATCATGACTGTGTCCTGTGGACCACTGGTTTTCAGACGACCGTAGTGAGCCGTTGGTTCAAATGAAGCCTTGCTCAGAAGCAGAGAGAAATAGAGAAAAAAAAGAAAATTGTCTCTGATTGAAACAAATAAGTGTAGGCACAGGCTCCCAGAGTCTTTACAGTGTATCTCCCTGCCCTGCCTCTTTTCCTTCTTGGCTGCCCTGGAGGGGAATTTTGGGGGAGTCCAGTAGGAAAACCCCATGCATGGGTCACAGGGGCTGGGGCTGGGGGGTGCCAACAAAGAGCTCTTCTAACAGCCAGCTCATTCCCTTTGAGTTTTTTCCCTAACTCAGATAAACCCCAAATGTTATCCCTCACTCGATCTCTTTTCCCTCGATCTTTCCTCATGTACGACTTGACTTTGTTAGTAAAAGCCTTTTTGTGGTGACTGTTGTATTGGCTGCAACTGTATTTGTTTCCCATTAGCAGGGCAGAGGGTAGCAATTTTCTTTTTACAAAGATAGTACCCAGCTTACACACAGGACGTGTTCCAAAAGTTCATTTTTAAGTTAATCATTTGGAACTCAGAGTGCATTTTCCCATAGAAACAGCATTATGCGTGGTGAGTACGTTCCCAGGCCATCCCACAAAGGCCAGTTTAGCCCCTAATATAACTGAAAGTGTGGATTTTTTGCAATGGAATTTAGTTGGAAATAATACTGTTGCAATTAAAAAGAAAACAATAGCTGGAAAAAAATCGTCTGGGTTTTTGTTTCCCTCAAGGGGTAGGACTTGATGAAAAGCAGGTTTAATCCTCGGAAGACAGACATAGATGAGGAGTTCTGTGTAAGTTTGGCTGGCACAACTTCTTACATTTATTTTTTCAGTAGTGTTTTGGAGGGTGTTTTTTTTTTTTTTTTTAAATAATAAAAGCTGTCGTGTCTGTTGTAGAAAATTTGGAAAATCGAAAAATGTTTGAAAACTGAAGTCACGAGTCATCTTTCCAGCCAGAGAGAACCACTGTGAACATATCGGTGTGTTTTCCTTTCGACCTTCTCCTGAGTACGTGTAGTTTTTCATCGAACCAGCAGTTAACAGAAATACTGTTTGATATTTTACAAAGTTCTTCGGAATGATCTAGTGTTGAGTACAAGGCAGTCTTGCGGTTTGACACCTAGGTTGGGGGGCGAGGGCGTTGGAAGCAAATCGGCACCAATCAACGGGGAGAGGGTCCTCTTGTTAGGCTACCAACTGAGGCCCCCCGCACCCCCCAGCAAACACCAGAGTCATTTTTTTTAATGTTTTGTTTATTTATTCACGAGAGAGAGAGAGAGAGAGAGAGGCAGAGGCAGAGGGAGAAGCAGGCTCCCCGCCTAGAAGGGAGCCTGATGTGGGACTCGATCCCAGGATCCTGGGATCATGACCTGAGCCGAAAGCAGACGCTTAACCATCTGAGCCACCGAGGTGCCCCAGAGTCGTTCTTTTGGTAGAAATTCGGAAAAGGACATCCGTTCTCTGTGAAGTGCTGTAGAGGTTCATGGCACTGGCTCCTTACGCTGATTCCCCCATCAGATCACAGAGCTTTCTGCTCCTGTGCTCCTGTGTATCGCCAGCCCTACTCAGGCTGCACAACTATGATGAAGGTCATTTGTAAATTCCTAAGTGGAATGGAAAGAGGGGCATGCATTTCCTGAGGTAATGAGGCGTGAGCTAAAGAGAGGTGAGGAGGATTATGCGTACTCATGAGGAATGAGATTACGTGGAGGGGAATGTATTGAGCCACAATGGTGAAAGAAAGGTGGGGAAATGAAAGCACGTAGGCATGCAGGCAGACCCAGGGAGCGTGGAAAAGGAGAAAAGAGAGGGGTGTGTGTGTGTGTGTGTGTGCACGCAGGCACACACATGCGTGCTTAGGACCAGGCCTGGCTACAGAGCAGATAAAAAAGCAAGCAAAGGACAGTGAGCGTGGCAGAATTGTGGCCCGCGGAAATAAGACAGTTTTAAGAGGAGGCAGCAAATGTAATGTGCATGGCCAGCAATTTTCTTTTAATAAGGGAACAAAGACAGTTTGTGAGGACAGGTGCTTCGAGTGCTAATCGTCCAAGAATGAAACACCCTGTTTGAACTTAATGTAATGTATCTGCTGTGATTGTGCACCATATGACTTTGCCCGATTGATGATTTCCTAAAAAGAGTTTATAAATGCATTCCATTTTCATACTGGCTTTTTTTTTTTTTTAGTCAAGACTAGATGTGCAACTGACTTGTACTTTGGCATGGAAGTCCCAGTAGCTGCCCTGTGCATTTGCTGTGTGTCAGCGAAGGAATTGAAAATCAGAGAGGCATGAGGGGTAGGGGGAAAGAAGGTGTTGGTTTGGAGGGGGCTGTATTTACATGTGGGGTTTTTTTTAATGTACTGGGGGGAAAACCAGAAAGTTTCATCGTACTCTATAGAAACATATGCCATTGAAATTCTCAACCATCACCACGTTAGAGAATCTCGCTCTATGGGATTCTGTGGCTCTCATGTCTGGTGAGCTTACAAATGCAGATTCTGGGTTAAGTGGGCTCCAAGTCCTGGGCTAGTGGTTCTCAATGTTGGCTGTAAATTGGAATCTCCTGGAGAGCTTAAAAATCACCGAGGCCTGCCTTCCACCCCCAAAGACTTTCACTTCATTGGTTTAGGGGTGAGAACTGAGCACGTTGATCTTTTAAATCTCCCCAGGTGATTCCTGTGTGCAAGCAAGTCTGAGAACCTGTAGTTTTGCCCATTGCTTTAATTACCCAGGTGGATTAAACCGGTTCTCAAAGTGTGGTCCTGGAACCAGCAGCTTCAGCATTAACAGGGAACTTGTTTGAATGCAAATTCTTTGGGCCCCTCTTCAGATTTACTGACTCAGAAGCTCTAGGGGTGACCTACGAATCTGTTTTAACAAGCCTTCTAGATGACTCTGATGTGTCCTAGAGGTTGACAGCCACTGGATGAAACAGCCCCTCCTAACCCTAAGTTTCTAGGCAGGAGGAGCGATGACCCTACCAGCTGATGAAAACTGGCCCAAGAAAGGACTTTGATAGAAATACTTATAATAATAATAGTAGGAGCCGTGGTGGGCAAAGGGGAAAAGGGGGTTGGGGCAGGGGGCATAAAAATTTGCTACAAAGCCCAAGCAAATTCAGGAGGGAGCATGGCTTCATAACAATTAAAGCGTTGGTCACCTCGGCAGACATAACCCTGGTGGCAATACCTGTAGGGAAAACTACTTATCCTTCAAAACCCTGTTCAGATGCCAGCCTCCTCTGAAGCTTCCTCTGAGCTCTAGGGTAAATTGCTTCCTCCTTGTATTTACTTAACACTTGCTCTATGCCTCCATTGGCTTTTGTCTCACTGTATTATAGCTACTTATGTCTCGCTCCCTCACTCAATTGTGTGATCTTTGAAAGCAGGGCATTCTCTTACTCATCTTTGGGTCACCAGTGTCCAATACAATACCTGATACATAGTGCCCTAGAACTGTTTGTTTAGAGGAGGCATGAGGAATGGCCACCTCGCTTTGGCCGTCTTGAGCTTTCAAAAGATGGGTTTACCTTTGTGAATTAATCAGGCACCTGGGTCCGGCTCTCGCCCTGGAGGCTAGGGCCCTTGATTGCATCAGCACGCAATGAGTCTGTCGATGTCTCTCAGGGGCAGCCCTACAGAACAAAGATCTTAGAGATCTGTTAACAACCCGTTATTTTTACAGAAGGATACATAATCATCAGGTTCCGGGACTCCTAATGGCAACTTTTCTCATATTTTCTCTTAGCATAGGTAGACCTTCATAAGAAATCTCCTTATCATCTGTAGGGATACATCTGCCACAGGACGAAAGCACCTGACTCTTTGGGTCTCACAGGTTACTTTTCATCCAGGCCCTATCATCCTCTGGTTCTTTGTGCTTCTCTAATTCTGTAATGTACTCTGTTCATCCCTGGTCTGCTCACCGACATTCTTCAAACAAGATAAACACTTAGTAAATTACACTCACTTTTGTCACTGCGCCTTCTGGAGGTTGTACACAGGTCAACATGATTGGGTGTACCTGTGTTCCCCACGTCTTTAGAGTCACAGATGCACAGGCGATCCCTAGGCTTAATTTCCTAGGTGGTTAATCACACATTCATTATAAATGGATTTGTACTCCTCAACTCTCAAAGGACAATCTTATAACTTTATTTCCAAGGTTTTCGGGGTGGGGCCCCTCAATGTCACCTCAGTTGCTGCCAAGAGGAATGATTTCTAAATGTTGTAGAAACTTTGAAATATATGTCAGTGTCATTCTCTAAAATGGAATTTTTAAGACCCAGAGTATAAACCGGAAGAAACTGGATTTGTACCTTCTGTGCCAACTCACTATCCTAATTTGTATGTGCTGAATGGATTTTTCTGTTTTTTTCTTTTTCTTTTTTTTCCTGTAGGCATTATATCTGATAGCCACTAACGGAACCCCAGAGCTCCAGAATCCTGAGAGACTGTCAGCTGTGTTCCGTGACTTTTTAAATCGCTGTCTTGAGATGGATGTGGACAGGCGAGGATCTGCCAAGGAGCTTTTGCAGGTGAAAATAAAATAGGACAATTACAAAGAGAGAGTGATTATATTGAGCTTTTCTATCTCAACGTGTGACAGTAAGAGCTGTGTCAAGAGATGTCTAGTTTGAGTTGGGCTGTACCCATTTGATTTTAGGCCACAGGCACATAAGTATGGGCATGCATCTAAGACAAGATTGATTGGCATGTTGCCCTTCTTCTGAGAAGGTGGCGGTTTAATCTATAAATCTCTTTTGTTCTTCCTGGAGTCTTATTTTGCGAGGAAAAAGAAAACTGTGAACCTCTGGTGTTGCTGTTTTGTTCTAAACTTTACTTGTGCCCCTGGATGTTGTATGCAGGTGCTCTTGGCCGGAGGTAATTCTCTACATAACTATGCAATTATTTCCATGGCATTTGCTACTCTAATGCTTTACTGGTCAAAGCCCCTTTGCTTGTGATGCCAAATGGCAGGCACCTGCTTGCCTGGGTGAGTACCATCCAGTGGTGAGTGCCTCTGTAACCATTTGTCCTTTTCATGGCTCTCAGGGATTCGTCTATCTGATGATCATGAGTACCAATTGTGTGCCAAATTCCTTACACATATTCTCTCATCCAATTCTGAAAACAACTCTATAGGGTAGGTGGGATTATCCCACGTTACAGATGTAGAAATTGAGGCTTACACAGCCATCGAGTGGCAGAACTGGAATTTGAGCCCTGGATTTTCTGACCCTCCCCTGAACAAACACATAAACCGATTTAGAGAAAAAAAAATATGCTTTTATCGATAAAGGAACACACGCCCAGGACGACACATAGAACTCCAGTGCTGGGGACTTTTCCTCGGGGACATGTATCAAGCCTGTAACATCTAAGAACAGTGACTGCATATTCTCTCTGTGACTTCGAACACTTAATCCAGTTAAACATAAGGTGCAACATTTGGTTATCTAGTGTGTTAACCCCAGACTCAGTCTGTTCCAGGCAAAAAAAAGAAAGAAAATCATTCCTGTTGCTCCCGAACCCCCTCCAGACAGAGCGCCACACCCAGGTCAAAAATATCCCACCCCGACCCAAATCACACCTGGAATAAACTGATTTCCGGGAATCAAAGAGGCTACACCTTCGCTTTTCTGCTGTGAGCATTTCACAGGCTGTCCCAGGGGCTTGAATTTCAAATCTGCAGTGGCCCTTCATTGATCCTCTCTTTAAGCCGGCTTCAAATCACAGATGAAAAAACCTGAACTTGAGAGTGCCTCGCTCCCACATCTCTTCACTCCTCCCACCACCCACAGACACATCCCGATACATGTTCCAAGGAGAGGTGATGAGATGGGTTCTCTTAGTTTAGCTATGCAGTTACATAGATCATTGAGTCAGTTACCAAGTCAGTTCCTTCCCCGACAGTACTTTGATCTGAACCAGTCAGCTAAGTAATGCAAAACTATATTTTGAGTCTAAATTGAATAGTTCATTGCGTCTTTTCATTTTACATGTTAGCAATAACCTGTGTATCACCCAAAGTCCATAGAACACTGTTCTCTGACTCCAGCCTATCACTGCCCATTTCAGGGGCTAGAAAACAGAGGGATGCATGACATTCACCCCCCCCCCCAGAAGGCTTGAGAAAAGACAGGTCTTGAGTATTTGTGTGCCCTTCTGTATGGCCTAAGTCAAGTCTCTGTCCATCAACTCATGTTTTTTGAGCAACTTCTATGTGCAGGGCTCACTGTAGTGGGTGATACAAACCTTAGAGGCATGGTTCCTACTCTCCAGAAGTTCACAATGTCCTTGGATATATGAAAAAACAACACAAGGTTTTTTAAAGACTCATTCAAACCCAGTGGCTATTCAAACAATAAATGCCATGGTTGATTAGAGAAATACCTTTATAGGTGATGGTGATCAGAAAGTGTCTGCAAACAGGAAAGAGTTCTGCCAAGTCTTGAAGGACAGAGCAGCTTTAACTGGCTGAGGTAAACAAGGGAAGCGATTTCAGATGGAAGGATTATAGTGTGACCCGAGGCATGGAGGAGGCAAGGTTGAAGGGAACAGAAAATAAAGCGGACAGCCGAAGTAAAGAGGTCCGGTCAGGAGGCTGTAAGAGATACGGCCGTAGAGGGCCTTGAACACCAGGCTATAGAATTGGGGGGCTGTAGCCAGTGGGCAAACCCTGACCATATCTGAGGGACACCTGGCAACAGCTTTGTATAGGAAGGTGAATCTGGTGGAATACAATAAGAATTAGCAATGGGACAAAATGGCGGCAGGAAGATCAAGGAGGACTTACGGTTATAGTTGAGGGTTCAGTTGATTAGGGCTTAACTAAGGAAGGCAAGAGATAATGGTGGAAGGCATTGAGAAGAAAGGACTCGGTAGGTGATTATATGTAGAACATAAGGAAGAAGAAGATAAAAGTGACTTCGAATATCAAACCAATGGCAGCATGCAGTAAAAGCAAAAATGATGGAGGATAATACCATGGCTAACATTTCTTAGCCCCTGTGTAGCTTACAAGGAACTGTCACTTACTTACCTCATCTAACCATCATAATAAGCAGAGGAGAGACTTGGAACGTAGGTGCTGCGCAGATTCCAAAGCCTCTGCAGCTTACATCACACAAGAGTACCCTGTGTGGGAGACTTTTTAACATACCTTTTTAAATGTTGATTTCAAGGGCACGGAAGGACATTTGGAAGGAGATACCCAGCAGGCAATTGGAGAAATAGGACCAGACTTCAGGAAAGGGATCAGGTCACACTGTATTGATTTGGGAGTCATCCCCATTAATCTGATGAGAGGTCAAAACCATGAAAGAAAGGGAGCTCTCAAAGGAATTAAGTTAGAAAAAGAACAGGATGAGCGCTGAGTTCTGGGAGGTGGAAGGAGGAAGGGAAAGTGGGGAAGAAGATAGAAGGAGAGGAGTCAGTGAGCTTGCACGGGGAAGGGAACCAAGACTATGGAATGTCACAGGCCCCCAACGAGGAAAACATTTCAAAAAAAGAAGGGATGTTCATTTGTATTACATACTGCAGAGGGGCCAAAAGAAAAATGGTGGAGGCGCAGCTCCGTCCGGGGTTTAGTGGTTGAGAAGCCATTGGCTTCAGGGTCAAGGGCCACCAAAGACACTTTTTCAAGCAGGAGAGCTGCCCCAGATAAATGCGTCAGTTTGAGAAAATCAGCAAACAAGACTGTTGCAAACCTAGTGAGATTTTCACAAGACCCCTACTCCGAGTTTCTGGCTCTACCAGTCAGCTGTCAGAGGATTTCATGACACTGAATGACAAGAACATCGCAAGGCCAAAAGCTGGCATGATTTTTTTTTCAATTTTATTTTATTATGTTATATTAGTCACCATACAGTAGTACATCATTAGTTTTTGATGTAGTGTTCCACGATTCATTGTTTTCATATAACACCCAGTGCTCCATGCAGTACATGCCCTCCTTAATACCCATCACTGGGCTAACCCATCGCCCCACCCCCTCCCCTCTAGAACCCTCAGTTTGTTTCTCCGAGTCCATAGTCTCTCATGGTTCATCTCTCCCTCCAATTTCCCCCCTTCATTTTTCCCTTCCTTCTCCCAATGTCCTTAAGCTCCACAAAGAAGTGAAACCATATGATAATTGACTTTCTCTGCTTGACTTATTTCACTCAGCATAATCTTCTCCAGTCCCATCCGTGTTGATGTAAAAGTTGGGTATTCATCCTTTTTGATGGCTGAGTAGTATTCCATTGTATATATGGACCACATCTTCCTTATCCATTCATCTGTTGAAGGACATCTCGGCTCTTTCCACAGTTCGGCTATTGCAGATATTGCTGCTATGAACATTGGGGTGCATATGGCCCTTCTTTTCACTACATCTGTGTCTTTGGGGTAAAGACACGAACAGACACTTCTCCAAAGAAGACATACAAATGGCCAACAGACACATGAAAGCTGGCACTATTTTTAATAAAATCAGGTTTAATTGGATGCTCAAGGTACATTTATTTGAGTGAAAAAAAGGCTGCTTCTTGAGAATGTAAGGTAATATACTTGTTGGAGGAAAGGATTCCAGTAATTCCTCTTTTTTTCCCCCTTTTGTAGCATCCATTTTTAAAATTAGCCAAGCCTCTCTCCAGCCTGACTCCTCTGATTATCGCCGCAAAAGAAGCGATTAAGAACAGCAGCCGCTAGGACCGCAAGGCCCACCCTACACCGTCTCCCTCCTGAGTAAGACTGAACTGAGATGCTGCTGCAGAAAAGATGGAAGAAAAGACAGCCAAATGGGGGTGGGGGGCAATCTTTAACTTTCAAATGAATAGAAACTTCTTATAAGCCTTTTTTCCTACTCCCTCGGATTATGTAATTTATTTGTAAGCCTGAATCGCAGCCCGACCAGGGCAGCAATGTCGAAGTGGCCACCAAGCGGTCACTTCTACCGTGAAGCGAAAGAGCCAGTAGTGAATCCCCTCATTTTGTGCATTCACTTTGAAGAAAAAAAGGGTTTCTCAAAGATGCACACTCCCTCTTCATAGTGTCGTGTTCGTTTTTAAGTTAGAGAGTAGTCCCTCTTGCATTCGAACCTCCTTCAAAACTCCTTACCCAATGTGATGTTTTTCACTTGCATTGTCATTAGATGTCCAGGAAAAAAAAAAAAAAGACGTCAAAAACTTTTTTAAAAAAAAAGAAAGCAAAAAACAAAAAGCAAAAACAAAACAAAACAAAAAAACAAAACAAAACAAAAAAAAATACCCCAGAGCAAGTACTGTGTGAACATGTGGAAGTCCATGCCCTAATAGAGTTGCAATTTTTTATTCTTCTATAGTGGTGGCTTGGTTTGTGTACCTGTTTTTCTGCATTTGTATTGGAAAAGGTTTCTTTTAAGGCATTTTTCCAAAAGCAGAGAGGAGTATATGTATTCAGGAAGGGCTTTTAAAAACTGTCTATCCAAATAAAGCTCAAATGGTGAGATCCTGTAACATTTTCACGACAATGCTTAAGAGGTAGTTGATGTATCATTTCTATAAACCAGCTCGTTCATCTTCACGATGCCTGACAAAGGACACACTGAAACTTGTGGCCCTCCTATTGGGTGAGTCCAGGTCCTTAACCTGGGAAACCCCAATAGGGGAAACCATTCTTAAACAAAGATGGGACTTGCTCTGAGAGCCAAAAGGAAAGCAAAAGGAGTGTGTAATGCTGAGATCTTTGTTGGACAGAAGGAAACAAAAATCAAGAGACCTAATTTAATCCTCTCGTGCTTATGGAACACAGGCATTGTCAAATAGGCACATTAGGAGAAAATAGACCCATTAACCAATATTTGCTTATGATCAGAATCACGTGACACGTTATAACATTTTGAAAATGTCTTAAAAGACCTGGAGAACAGAGTTATTGTAAGTATTCAGCCCTGTCAGGAATGAGAGGTCCGTGAAAACTACATCCCAGTCAACATTTGGCTCTAAGTACTTGTTCCCATTTTCCCTCTGTCTCACTGATTTCTGTTTCAGGATATAGCATAGTCAGACATCATCTTTTGAGCTTTTGAATTTCAAAAACATGTTCAGACAGATCTGGAAATTCTCCAGTGAAAAATAATTAGGGTTTGCAATCATATATCGCAAGAAGTAGCAGTCCAACAATGTATCTACTTATTAAAAATTCAACAGTTGGCACTTCCTGAATCTTCTGAGAGCAGAAAAATATCTGGAGGGTGGCTGCATAGAAAAGGATATGCTTCTCTTTCAAATGTATTGTCAGTTGCATAAATTCTGCAAAGTGGCCTATCTAAGCCTTGGAGAAGCTAACAGTTTGTGCGATAGAAGGCTTCTTGATTTGTAACATACCGAGAATCTGAATAAGAACCTATTTACATTCAGCAAGGGGGAGAAAGAGAGCAATGGCCTGGGCCTCTCTTCTTCTCTGCTATGGTACATCTGTCCATCTAAGCATCCATCCATTCCTTAAAATGCAAGCACTTTCTTTAGAGAGTTTCTGCTAACCATGTAGTGCACGTGTTTATGTTGAGGAAACGGCACCGCTGGTGGATTTCCCATTTTCCTATTGTTTTCTTTGACTATAAAAGTTGGGAGGGGCTTGACACCCCCCCCCGAAAACACCCACAGTGAGAGAAAACAACAGATGTGAAAAAGAAAATCAAATGGTAACATTCATTTGAAGCATGCTGTGTTCTACTTGACAAAAAGGTGGTTCAGCCTGAAATTTTTAACACCACACTGTTCCAATGAGAGAGAGAAAGAGAGAGAGAGGCCTTAATTTTTATTTCATTTAAAGTTAATTTTTTTTTTTTTTTTTTTTTTTTTTTTAGTGTTTCATTCATAGTGCCAGGGAATTCAATGAAATAATACCTGGGGTGTGAATAGAATTCAGTACACTAACTCGGCCCTGCCAGTGGAGAGAACCACAGGGCTAGTCAGGAAGTCCTAGTTGCTGATTAGCATCCCTTATATGTCATAAAGGTCTTTTGGGCGGGGAGAGACCTGGAGCAGTGATCTTTCGGATCACTCTAGGCAGAGAAATGGTTGCTCTTTGATGCTTTCAGTTTTGCATATTAACAACTAGGAGCCAGGTACTTCTTCACCACGCCCCCATTGTACCAAGATTCTATGGTTATATAGTGCAGTAGGATTTACTCTTACAAATTTATATCTATGTAAATTTTTAAACGAGAACAGCTTCTAAAGCCTCTCCCCTGTGTTGGAGAGTTATGTATATTTCTAATAAGTATTAGCAAGAAGCTGTTTCTCCTGCCAAAATGATGCTGAACGATTCACATTGGGTACACTTGAACAACTTGGACTCCAGGTGGTTAATCATTTATTCCCTTTCTCTGGATTTTTTTTTTTTAAGCTCATCTTGACACAGATGAGTCTATCCAGATCTTTAAAGTTGCTAGCATGCCCGGAGATAATGAGGGCACTTTGCGGAATGTTGATTCCAAAATGTCCTGAGATAGGGATAGGGCAGTGGGAAAGTCAGGGAAGGGTGAGAAGCACAGTAGAGATTATTTATTTAAGAAAAAAAAAAAAAGAACATTAATGTTGTAGTGAGGATCCGGTGCGTTGTCATAATCCAGTGAGGATTTTTTGGATGACACAACCCCCCCAAATCAGTCACTATGTTGGGTAATGACTTCGTTCTTGATGATCTCGTCTATGTGTCATTGTAAATATTTGTGTGTCCATGTTCCGTTTTGGCTACTGGATGGCCAAGTCATGTAAGAAGATTTAACTCAAGTATTTATTCTTTAATTGTGTTATTCAGATTTCTTCAGGCTTGTGAATTGCACCCCCGATGTTGAGTTTAACCACCTGATCCCCCACATCTATTCCTCCCCTGTGAAGCACATTCCATTGCTAAAAGAAAAAGAAATATGAAATTGCTTCCTGTCGTCTGTATAACTGTTTTGATAGTTTGAGATGTTTGTCTATAAAGGATATTTCTCAGCTCAAAGATCGTGTAAATAACTATATTCCCTTGCGCATTGGGTTGTTTATTTCTAACGAGGCTGCCAGTTCTCAGAGAGAATCTATTAGATCACTTTTAAATAACATAAACAGGGATTATAACTTTGTAAAACTAAGTGTGCTTAACGGACAAAGACTGGGAACACAGGTCGTTGAAATCAGTTGTGTTAGGGTGGTGGGATTATGCAAAAACAATTTCATTCCTTTTAAAATTTTCTTTGGTATTGTTATCATTTTGCTTTGTAATAAATAAACAGCAGAAAGGGAACTATAGAAACAGAGAAGATGCCAGAAGCAGATGTCTTCTGGCCAGAGCCCAGAGCATGCAGGGCACAGATATTTGCTAGTTACAATTATTCCATAGGCTTCGTATTTGCCTGGGTGCTGAGGTTGGCACACGCTCGGGTATGGCACGTGCTTTCTTAAGGGACTATTATCTCTAAGTGGAAGCTAAGGAGACGTCGCTATTCGAGCTCCAGGCACATCCTTCTGCTTTAAAAGTGGCCGCCCTCTGCTTGGGCATGGCAGAGAGGTTTCTGTTTTGGTTACTGTAGATTGGGTGGGGTGACATTTGATTTGCCCCCTTGAAAACATCTGGTTCGGGTATCACCTCTCTGGCTCATGTTAGCAGATTTTCGGGTTGAATTTTGGAGGCATAGAAGGATGAATCCCCCGGCTCCCACCATGTCCTTGTCTGACCGGATGTTGTATCATTCAGGTAGGATTCTCCTGCTAGTGACCAGTGGGCAAGTCCCTTTGATCTCAATAGAAGTTATGACTTGCAATTAAAAGCTGACTGTGAAAACAAAGACAAATATTTAGAGCCACCTTTGCCTGTTGGTCTTCAGCTCCTGTTAGCTTTGGTGGGAGATGGCCTCCGTGTGCTTTCTGTACCGCCTGATTTATAGGTTGTAGGCAGTAACTACTGTCATTTTTAAAGAGCAAAAGGGAGACCGTCTACCGAAAGAGAGGAATTTTTCTCTAACTCACTGAAGAAATTGTAGGTGATGAGTTTTATAACAAGGTAGCAGCCTCAGATGTTACTCAGTTTCCCCAAGAGCAGACCTTATACCTGGAGAACCCACTTTTCATTGGCCATCCTCAACATAAAAATACTTCCGGGAGTTCTGCTCCCTGCCATCCCGAGTTGAATCTCATGGTCCTTCTCTGAGCTACTTGCAGTTAATATCCCCAGTTAAACACAGGCATAGCCAGTGATGCCAAGCTTCTCCCAGTCTCTGAGCAAGAGGACTGAAACTCAGCATTTGTAAATCGATGGTCTAATAGGCCCGGGATTTCAAGTGAACTTAACGCGCAATTCTGAACATATATTTGCATGTGGCTTGGGAGGGAAAGAAATGGTACCTTGGCAGGAATGGGAATATTTTTCCTAAGAAAGACTTTTTCATAAAAGATTTGGTTCCAATATAATCTTTTCTGTTCGTTAGCTTTGATTGTTTCACTCCTTTCCTGATCCCACGCTCCTTTAGTGACCAAATGAATATCACCCAACTCCTCATGCACTGGGAATGTCTGTTTGATATTAAACAATATCTCACCAAATCTGCAAATGCGGGAATGGAACTAGAGCCTCCATGCGCACACTTCCGTGTGCGAGTATACAACATTACAAGCAGCATTTCCTGCCACAAAATACAAACTTGCAGGATAAACTGATAGAAGCTGGTTAGTGCCATCAGAGTCTCCTTTGGCAGCCGCCATT